AATGGCAAAATTAGAGCCGAACCGATCCACAATTGCTCTGTGAACAAAAGTTTGCGCTCAGAATAAGGCCCAGTGTGCATTTCACCAAACACATCGAACAATCTACTCGACTGCTTAAAGCAGGTTGAGAGGGATCCTTCAAGGTAACGGCAACTTAGAAGTGATTACACAAACTCAAAAAGGGATAAGAATGTACAGGCAAGATATACAAAACAAGAAACGAAGATAATACATGAATTTCAGTCCAATTGTTAGTAGAAAAGGAAATTACAAAAAAAATCGATCGAATCGGGAATAAAGCTGCTCTGAAGTTTCAAGAATGATTAAGCTGCATCTTAATCTGGCAATGAAACGACTCTGGCGAGCCAACAAAAGCAGATTGCTAGAATATAGAAAAAAACCCCAGCCTCAATAAAATCTCGACTAGATGGGTCCAAGCATTCCTTCGGCAATTTTAGAAGACAATACCCTAAAATTTTAGGTTAAAGATAGCTTTAAGAGAACGAAAGTAAACAACGACAAGTAACTCACAAATCAATCAATAAATCTTCAAATGACGTATAAACATGCACTCGTTCTTCGAAATCAATCGTTTGATTACGTCGATGACAACTCCCAGATGGTTGGGGGGGAACATTGAATAATGCTGGAACGACATCTAACATGCCAGTATTGAGAGCCGCTCTAAAGTCGCCATCAGCGGTATCTGGCAGCAATCTGAAACAATCAGACAAACTGCAGGATAAAGAGTTAAGCAAGTAAATCGGCAAAGAAGGATAAGGTGAATTTACTTCATTTGGCAACATAACGCCGAATCACATAGAACAAACTCACTACGCGTGGATAAACAAAATTATCACATTGTACCCGTAACCACTCATTGTTTATTTAAGTCTTCGACTAAAATGATTTAAGACCACCACCACCTTTTTACAGCAAATTGTCCCATGTACTGAGCAAATTGAAAATAATACAAATATGTGAGCGAACTAGATCTGTACAAATTAATACAGTACTCACGCTGTTCGCAAACTTCGCAAAAACTCGTTATGTTCCCATTCCAAATAGTCATCCACAGAATATTCTTCTCTTTTTTTCTCCTGGCAAGTGTCAGCTATAAATGAATCCATTAAATACAAATTCATTTTTCACTCGGTATCTTGCATCTACTCTTCAGCTCCTATACGATAAAGTTTGAATGAAATTTTAGAAAACTTTCATCTATCGTATATTACCTAGTGTACATCAAATCAATCGAATATAGACTCGTCTCTTCGAAGTTTTCAAAAGTTTCGATTCGGATCAATGTTCAAACATATATTATTCGAGTAAAAGCCTTCAACGTTCGACTGTTCTCGAGCAAAATATTCGATTCGGTCCGATAATAATACCTAGTAGTACAATGTATAATATCCAAGAAAAAGCAAAACAAGATGCATTATGTACAAGACAGCGAGAAGAACCCAAAACTCAGTTCTTTGCTCTGATCAAAACATTATGAAAGTTCTTTTGCATATATATTGTTCCTAGAGCAAAATTTCACGCTGTTTCGATCATCTAAGAGATAAGCAAGAGTGTAGTGTAGAAGCGCATACATATAGAAATGAATACAAAAGGTCTAGAGTTCCATCTTTTTATCCTTATTTTCGACCTGCTTCTACTTTGTGAGGAAAAAGATGAGTGCAGATGCGATTTGTGACTAAACTGTCTAGAGTGGTTATGCCACGTTTGCAATTGACAAGCACGACTCTTCAAAACTCATGACACTCAAATCACTTTCGTAACATCCGAAGTCTGAAGTGTCGAGATAAGCAGACTCCAAAAACTAAAAAAAGCAACCCTAAATAACAAAAGAAATATTCTTTGAAACTCACTCAAATACTTTTCATACTCAGCTTTCGCAATCTCTGATATTCGAATTTGTGAGG